TCTGTACCACAACTCTGCGAATCGCGTTGTCAATCCAATTCATTCACCATCTCGATCGCACGCGGGACTTCATGTCATAAATCTTAAACCGCCAGTACCTTTCCCATATGTAGGCCACGGGCCCTGCCATCTCGCTCACCCGCGGGACAACGTGATTCGGGCCCCACGACTAATGAGACGGCCGCTGTTCGCTGTCCTTCGACTGGGGCATGCATTGAGGGACAGCAAGGGATGGCCGCTGCGATTGGCTGGAAATACTTGTTTTCGTCGATCTGATTGGCCCGAGACTTTTCTCTGACCGCCCGATTCTGGTCCCTTCGAGTGGGAGCAGAAGGCACGCAGAACATTGAAAATTGAAACACAAGGGGTTGAAGGGGGGGGATTTTGACAAGGCACACAGAAGGGCGACACATACAGAAAGCACCACCTACACAAGGGGGAGATTTGGAAAAAGAAAAACTGGACAGGGCGGAAACGTAACGTGGCAGAACAAGCACCTTACTGTTTTCACAGCGCATGGCGTTTTCAGACGACGCAGTTGGCACAGCTCCAACGCCAGGACCTTTTTCCCTTTTACATACACACTGGGGGGATTGAGCTACTAATAGGGGCGATTGAGCCACTAATAGATATTAGTGGGGGCGTTGAGCTCATGACCCATTTACTGGGCAATCACATGCATATGTCACCAAGCTTTGCCAAAGCGCCTTGTTTTTCGGGCTTTTTGTAAGCCATTTTGGTCCTGTTGGTGTGAATAACCTTACAAGGGTATTCGCGCGTGTTTTTGTGCTTCGCACGAGTCACATTTGAGATGGTACTTGAGGTAGTTGCTCACTTGGTACTGTGCGGCCCACGACCGACTCCCGGTAGCCAGAATGACGGCCGCGCGCCAGATGGGAGTAGAGGGTGCGTGTATGCACGAGTTTAAGGCGGGGGTGATTCTTTTTTGTGTGCCATAAAGCAGAGTTTTTGGTTAAAAAGTTCCTATTTTGGTTAGAAATATGGATTAAAAGTTTAATTCTTGGTTGGCTGCGCGCGCGCACGAGGCTATGGGTGCAGCCTGGCTTCCGTGCGGTAAAGGTGCCGGTAGGCCAAAGGGTGGTCTTGAAGCGCTTTGGCAGGATCGTGCACTGAACGGTAACCACTTACATGGAATTTTACTAGTCCTAATATCAACCTTGGGCCTAGCACTATTGGTTACAACACTGGACTTTCATACGACGATTTTGCGTATCAAGGCTAGCGATTGGCGACTATGGAGCAGCAGAGTTGTTGGAATGAGCCTAGGGGTTGAGGGTCTACCTGGGCTATCCCCCTCGGTTTTGTCGTTAGGCCCGACCTTTGGGCGGACTGGTGCGACAAAGGTTTGTCGACGGTCCCCCTCCCCCCTCAGTATAAGTTTCATGTTTTCGTCTTTTTATTTGTTTTATTCTTTTGCTTTTGCCGTTATTCCAAGAATTCGCTTTCGGGACACACTCCGAATGCCAGTACCAGGACCGATCCTGAGACCGATGGACCTAGCCCAGCTGGTACACCTACGAATTGTCAGAATACAGACTTGAGTTCCGGATACACTGGAAACAGATAGGTGAAATACTACGGTTATGAATTACCCAGAGTCGGTCGCTTTCGCGACGATATTTTGGGAATGTTGCCCAGTTTCAATCCTTCGGGACATCTGTTCAAATTGAAACGATACAAAAAAACTTAAGCATGACTCCTTAGCAAAGGTGATATGCATACATCATATGAACCTGGCTAGTAAAAGGGAACGGGTTCGCTATCGGGATTCGCAGCTCGAGTAGGAAGAGTACTAAGGCTTAGAATGTCCGACTACAAAAGCATTATGTGGTTCTAAATTTTCTATTGGACCGTTGTTGCATCAACCGCTACCAAATGTTGCGCTAGCATCATGGAGGAAGAGGAAGGAGAGAAAAGGGTTGATGACAACGACGAAAACGAAGGAGGGCAATTCAACGAGCACAAAAGCGAAGGAGAAATAGGCACAATAAAGCACGAATCAACTTGCCCAATTTTCAGTTCAATCTGTCAGGCCAAGGTGCTAGACCGGGTTTTCTTGGCATGGCAAGTATGATGGTGAAAGCGAATTTTTGGTTGAGGTAGTAAAACTAGCGGAATGGAAGGCAAAGTTACACAATGTGAAGGCAAGCACAAAGAAGAATTGGAAGGGAGTGAGAGGATATCAACAGGGAAGAGATCGGTAGAAAAGAGAGAGGTAAGGAGGAGAAAAAAACCGATAGGAGGAAACACAAAGCAGGAGTATGCGCGCGTGAATAAGAGGCGTTTACCTGATGTGCACCTGCCCAAAATCTAACGAAAGGTTCACTCTCATATTGCACATTCGTGATTAGTTGGGCGACCCTGACCTTGCTCAGTGTTGTTATCTCGAGCCCGCTCATGCTTCATCATCAGGGAAACGCCATCATGCTGGTCGTCATCATCGAGTTCATCGTGGTGGTCGCATCCTCATGATCATGTTGATCCCTGACCATCATCATCCCAACCGCCTTTGTTGCGGTAATCTCCCGTGCGTTGTTTTTTTTTTTTTCTTCATATGTTTATCATTTTTTTATCGTGGTTATCCTCGTTGTACTACAGGCAGTGATCTTCATCATCTACTTATCACGGTCCTTGTCAATAGGCGCCTAATTGCACTCGTCATACTCGTAGTGTCGACTTGCTAGCAATCCGGTGTTGTTTTCCTCCCTTGAAGTGGTACTATTCTTCATCAAAGTGATCATAGTACTCACCGTTGCCTTATGTCGTCTTCGGGGGCAAAGATTGCAGGTATGCACGTGAATATTTGTGTATATGTATGTGAGAGAGGAAGAATTGATGGCAAGATAAAAACAAAGTAGGAGGCCAACGCATGAGCAGACGAGGAGGTAGAAGATTAATTGTCAAGGAAGACACGGAGGAAGAAGGACCAATGAGGGAGACAACGGGAGAGGACAACGCGACGAGAGAGACGTGCGGAGCAATAACAACAGACAAAAAAATTTATCTTCCCATGTTATATCAAAAGATTCAATCTCATTTTGGATATTTGGTGAGTGGTGCAGTGGGCACAGGGCTGGGATATATGCGGTGGAAATAACATGAAAGAGAGAGAGAGAGAGAGAGAGAGAGAGAGAGAGAGAGAGAGAGAGA